AGCCAAGCACTGATCTTATTCACACCTCTCTAAATTTGGCTGTAAAGGTGCAGAGGCACAGCAGAAAAAGCATATAACCATCCCTTTTTACCATCCCACCAAATAAGTGCAAATTGCGGAGGCAATCGCGGGCAATGAACACATTTCTGTCTCCATACACAGGCTAGCACCATGGGTGTACGCTACCTCTCTTTGCCTCAGGGCCCCAGCCAGCCCACTAGACGAAAAGCCGGGCGTGTTACTTTTACAGGTAAGGGAAGTGCTTTACTCTGTATCCTACTCCAGCAGTGAAAGAAACTTGGCCAGTTGCTCAGTAGATTTAACAGTACTAAATGAATACTCCCATGGAAGTCCCTGGCCTCTTTAAATGAGCTACACCCTTCTCTCCTATCTTTTTAATCTACGTTGTTTATATGGTCATTACTGCTGCAGTTTCTATCTCGTTCCAGCAACGCCTAGTTTTCTCTTTTTCCCTGTTGCACAAATATTCCTGTGATTCCTGCAGTTTGGCCTGGCTGTGAGGGCATCCATGTAAGCCTGAGAAAGCAAATTATCTGTTCCCAGACACAATTACATGCAAAATTGTTAGGAGATGCTGAACCCGTGGCCCAGTTGAGGTGAGGCTGCCACAGCTCCATACCCCCAGCTCCTGCTGGTAGCGAGGCTGAGCAGGGATTCCCAACAGGCACCCGCGCCACCGTAATTCAGTGTACACGTACACACAGCTGGACACACAGAGCAGCACAGACAGGGTACAGTGCTCGCACAAACGCAAACAGCACCAACGGCCTCATCCTGGTCCCCTCTCTGGCTGATCAGGACGACAGCCTGTTAGTGGAAAATTATATATACATACCTGCTATCTGAATTCCCTGGTAGCTGGCCTTAGACACACACTGCCCAGTAGCTGGCCCTGGACACTCTGTCTCCCCAGTTGGTGGCACCTGGGCATGTGAGCCCCTGGGGACACAGCCCTACGGCAGCTGCTGGTACTTAGAACTACACACATGCACGCGCACACACACACACATGCACAGATGCTCTTCCACCCCACCCCATGCACTGTAGATCCCTCCAGTAGCTGGCCTTGGACACCCAGTCTTCCCCATAGTGGGCTCCTGGATCCTCTGGTCTCCCCTTGCCTCACACACAGGGACACACGTGCAAATAGGTCTTTCTGGTACCTACTCCAGATTATGGCCTTACCAGCAGCCAACCACAGACCCCATGGTCTCTTCAGTCACTGGGCTGGACCTCCTGCCCCCTCCAATAGTGAACTCACAGACCTCCTGCTCTCCCTAGTGTCTGTCCCAGTTGGTTGCTCCAACAGTTGGTTCCCAAGCCTCTTATCCTTCTCGATGGCTACTCTGGCTTGGTGATTGCTGGTGATTTTGTGTTGACATATGCACCCACAGAATATGCATGCACCCCAGTCCCTCCAACTGCTGGGACTCAGACCTCCACACACACAAGTACACAATATAGGGAGCTGCTCACCCAGGAAAACAGTCAGAAGTGGAGTTTAATGAGAAGACAGGACAGACTGTGCTGATCAGGCACAGGGCATTGTCAGACACATGTACTGACCAGCCCCTGTTTACATGCGAGCAGCCCTTTTTATCCCTTTTTTTCTCTATTTGCGTGCACTTGTTCCTCCCCAAACTGATCCTCCCCTGATCCCTTCCTTTCCCTGCCTTTGGTTCCTGCCCTAAACATCCCATCGTAAGTCCTGTATGATCCCAAAATACTCTCCCCAGACATCCCAATAATAAGCGCCATACCCTGCTACACCTCATTCTATGAGGTGCCCCGGGGGAGAGTCTCTCCGTGGGCTCATCATGGTGGGTCTCACCCTGCCCACGGAGCTGATCATGCCTGTCATGGATCAGGGCAGGGGCTCAGGCTCATCCCTCTGACTGGGGTACTGGGGGCTCCCCCTCCTGCCCTTGTGCCTTGGGGCTCCTCTGTGTTTGTGGAGATGAGTCTCTAATCACATAACCTAACAAAAAATCCTGGCAAAAGCAGCTGGTCTCTTCTCCCTTTTTCCCAGCTTGCTCTCTATGACCATTTCTATAGTAATACCGGTATTACTGCATAAAGTTATCAGCCAGTCTCAGGTTATCATAGGTACACAGTAAAATGCAGACCCATCCTCACTTACACTCTAAGTAAGGAGACAGAGGATAGGAATGGAGCAACACTGAATTGCCCACAGAAACATAGCAGGACATGTCACAGAACACATGGAATTTAGGACACTTGAATGTTCATCATTGTCTCCATCTGTAATCTCCGTGACTCCTTTCTGCATGCATTTATATGAACCTGAAATGCATTTGGGTTCCTTAGAAAATTTCCTTTTCATTTCTGGCAAAATTAGCTATAGCGATTGAAACGATATTTTTAATCTTCATCTTTGTATCAAAAACATGGACAACAAAGTTTGTTTCCTGCACGTGCAAAATTATTTTCTTTCTTCCCTTTCTGTTTTACTCTGAAAGAGATGAAAGCAAAAGAGATCTGTGTAGGCAAACCATCCCCGTGGGGCTGGGCACTCACACGTGATGGCAGCAGAACAGAAACCCATAGGATCTATTCAGAGTTACTCAAGGGGATTTTTTCTTTTTTCATGCAGCTGATTCTTTTCTGTTCTGTTTGTCAGAATATCATGGTGGGGGATATGTGTCTTTCTAAAAGACTCAAACTGTTCTACACAGCAGCCTCAGACCTAAAAGCATTTCAGACGCTTTCAGGGGACCAAGTCCTGGTATAGCAGGCACATTATTTCAGTGGGGAGAGGAGTAAATCCTGAGGCAGTGAATGCAGGTACATTTTTATTAATAGCTAGGCCTGAATTTGAGCCCTGCCTTGTGATCTATCCAAATAGTTAGACTTCTTGGTCCAGCTTCTGGCCCCATCTTTTCTGGGGGCTATTCACACCATTCACACCCCCCCAGCTATTCACACCGCTTTAAATGGCTGCAGCAGGAGGAAAACTGCCCTAAACTCCTCTCATAAACTGTGTTAGGATGTGATGAATTGCACTTGAGAACTGAGAAGACATATACTCAGTATGTAGGAAATTAGAATGACAACCTCATATATGCACATATGCATTTACAGCGATAAATGCCACCTCTTCCGTCTATGTCTGGAAGCCCTCCTGGAATAAGCATCCTCCAGCAAGCTTGGTTTAGCTCTTATACATAGCATGTGCAGAAAGTTTAGTAACTAAGAGGTCAGAAATGAGCACAAATAGATCCTTAGACCACCTATCAGCTCTTTCTGCCACTCATACAAATGCATGATTTCTGTGACGGTATATATCATTCATACTTTGTAGCAGTGATGCCCCCAAAGGGCTAATTAGAAGCCCTTCAAATCTGAGAATACCTATCCTATTTTATTGTTCATGGTGTGGTACACCCACATGGCCTAACCTAACAGCAGGTTCTGCTGTTAAAGAAATCTGTGCCCCTGTTCAGTGGAGGTGAGTGCTGGTGCACGCGCTCTTACTTTGTGCCAACTGTGAAGTAAACATTAGCTTAAAATATTTTAATAGTTATTAAGCTGCAATAACTTGATAAATTTTGACTGGGTGACTATACCCAATACACATCTGCTTTAACTGCAGCAGGATATAGTCTAATTTTATTATTCATGGACCTTTGTGTTTATCTCCCAAAACCTTCTAACTTGTTACGAGCCGTTTCTTAAATTAACTAATTTGCTAGTGCATAGTCAGACTACAAGTGGCTTTAAGAAAAGTAAAAAAGTATGTTCTGTAAACTCAACAGAATGAGAAAGCCAGTTATTGGCCTGTTGCAGGCAAATTTTTATTGTGTACTTGTGGCAAAGAAAGCTGGTAGGAGCAGGTCTGACACACCCAATGTAATCAAAGTGCCCTAGAGTCAAACTCCCGGTTTCAGGTGAACCTGTTTTCTTCCCAGTTGTTAATCACAGGTGACTAGTAAACTTGATTTTCAATGGCACTAGAGTCTTCTCCTTGGTCAATTTCTGTCTTCTGCTGTGGGTTTCACAACCCTAGTACCAGTTCAACCATGGTACTAGGTATATTTGTGAAATTCGTAAAAAATTGAAAGCTACATAAAGGAGCACTCTTGCCCTGTGAAGGCATTGAGCAGCTCTGCGAGGCACTAAAAGATAGCTGAATGTGCTTATTCGCTAGCGTTTCAGGGCAGACACAAGATCAATAAATCTTTTAAATATCAGCTTTGGGATGAAAATAAAAATTTAAGGTTATTTTTAGTTCTTGACTGCTCTCTTACTCTATAGCAATTATTTAAAATGCTTCAGTTCCAGGGTTTAAAACCGTAATGCTGTATTGTATTGAATACCCTTTAACTGTCCTTGCCAATACCATGGTGTTTCTCTTTTCTCTTCTTCAAAATATGAATTCTGTATCCATTTTCCTTCAGATGACCCCAGAAGTGTCTCTAATGCTGCCTTCCCGGTAATGTTCAGACCCCAGCCCCGACTACGTCCACTCGAAGCAAAGCACCGCCAGGAAGAGCTGATTCCAATGGCACGCTTGTGTAGACGAGAGGGCCCATCCAATCTGTCAGGTCGAAGAGGAAATGCAATCAGCCAGCGTCGTTTCACCAGAGCAGACAATCTAGCTCTAAGGCCAAAGTCTCGACTCACTGTGGGAGAAGTAGAGGGGTATGAGTCAGAAGAAGAGACAGAAACGATGGCACCAGCCAGGCCATTAGCCATATGAGGAGCAGAGAAAAGCAATGTTTGAATCTCTAGGGCCCTTTGTGCGCTGCTCCAGAAAAAATAACAAAGGTTTTATATGAACCAAACCACAATTTTCCTTTTGGGACCAGTGCGCTTTGTTCTTGTATCACTTTCAAGTGCTGTATCAAGGTACTTACTGGCTCAGAGAAGACTCAAATTCTTCTATGTTTATATCAAGCTTTCTTTCGAAAAAAACACTGCAGGAAAGAGGGGAACATGATCTTTGTAGAGGTTCGGACATGGATTTAAACGAGAATAGTTGGGCACATGCAATGCTATGGGTGGAAGCTGATATTGCCTTCCTCTGTTCTGTACTATGGCCTAAATCCAGAAGAAAGAAACACGAAAGACACATGAGTGCCCAGATTGGTAACTTCAACCAACTGTCTAGAGCTTTTTACCTCAGAGTAGTTGAGATATTCCAGGAAAGAGTTAAAAAAAGAAAGGCATTTTTAGGGCACCTAAATGTCACTGAAGATGCCTAAAGGCATCCCTAAGTCAAAAGGATTCATTAGTGGAGGCTTTCAGCACTTGGGAATCTCTTGGCATCTCAGGTTTCTGCTCTGCAAAAGTGCCTGAGGTCAGTTGCTGTGATGGTCCATAACTCCTGCTACTTCAACCAGTTTCAGCCTGTAGACACCTATCACCCACCTACAGTTGTTCTGGATGAATAAAGGAGGCATCCTGGTATGTACAAATCCAGAGAGGAACCTTCAGGCAGGAGTGCTGTCAGGATGCCTTTCATTTGCAAATGTGGGACGGCAAGAATGTACACAATATTCTTGTGGTTCAGCAAGTGGGAGGCTTCATCGTAGAGCATCTAACCTCCATTCCCCACTCCCACCTTGCCAGAGGGTGCCCAGATCAGTGGACCACTCTTCACACTGAAGCTGGACCAGCACTGCAGATAGGGAGCAAGAAACTGGGACAAAAGGTAAAGGGAGCCTAACTTTGCAGCCTGCTGGCTAGCATGAAAGAGGGTCCCTGTGTTTTGCTCCCAGCTTTTTGTAGGGTGTCTGCCTATATGTTGTATAGCATTTGCTAAAAAAAAAAAGCAGAAATAACCAGGGGGACATGCACTGGAGCCTGTGACCTCCCAGCTTTCCTACTGAGCTCCCTTCTAACTGGCTCTGTGCGCCCATGCTCCAGTCTCAACGGTGGGTCTCCCTAGTGGTAGGGGAAGTGAGAAGCTGTGGTCTTGAGTCATTTTGGATAGTCTAAAATCCCAGATACCTAGTTCCTCTGATGGAGCTCTTTTCTGCAAAATGGAAGCAGCATTGCCACTGTCATCTGTGTCTTGAAACTGTAGGTGAGCTGATTTTATCCAAAGGGATGATTTGAGTCCAAAACTCCATAAACCCACGCTTATAGCTGCGCTAAACTCAAATCTACAGCTGAGAAATGCAAGTTCAGTCATGCTTTCTTCAAATTTCCCTCTCTCTCCTCCACTCAGAGCTTGCTTAGCTGCCCAACTCAAGGTCTGCAAATGCTACTGTAAGAGTCAGAGAGGTAAGAATAAGAGAGAGCAGTGCCACCTTTATGTTTCTCTTTTTTATTTTACTGTTAAGTGCTTGTATGTCCTGGTCCAGAAAAAACTTCTAAGTATAAGTTATGACTTCACATTTCTTATAGTGGATTTCTGATTCAGGACAGGTAGCATCTAAACTAACAAATTTGAAAAACGCCACCAGAGGAAAAAAATAAAAGCCCTTTTCCCCCTTTTCTCATGTTAGCAGCTTTTATGTTTAGCAGGTCATAATGAATCATTGGCACTGAAATTGTACAAAGCTTTATGAAACTTAAGTTCTGTTTGCCATTGTGCCAGAGAAATTATACAACTTCCTTTTATGAAAGCAGTGGCACGTAATTAAAAGAGGGTAGGATTTGTCTTTGAATTTGTCGTAATTAAAAGAGGGTAGGATTTGTCTTTTGTACCAACACTGAATAAGCAATGAAATACAGTTCTGTACCTGAAAATCAACAAATAAACCCAGCTCCACCAAAAGAGGAAGTGCTCCATGTAATTTTTAAATAAAAGCCTTGTGCCAGATCTCAAACCTCTAGCAAGTTATACTGATGTATCATAAATCTCAATGAAAACTTTATATTGTACAAAATCAGGTCTTAAATTGTACCGTGAGCTACCCAGTTGCCATACGAAATTTAATTGAGGGCAAAATCAGCGCCCATGTGACGTGGTCCTTAGGCCACAGAGCTGACATAGGTGCGTGGAGTGGGGTGACAGAGGTGTGGGACCTCCTTCTGCATCGCAGAGTTGGGAGGGGGCAGGATCTCCAAAACTGGCTGGTGGGTGATGTGAACTGGAGGCAATCCTTGAGGACAGCGATGAAGGGAAAGTGGAAACCTGAGAGGAGGGTGAAGAAGGGATAGTGTCTCATGTTCAAAGGGAGGCACAGGAGAGAGATTAAACAGGAATTACTGTGAGCTGCAAATTCAGCGTTTCCTCTTTAAGAAGATTTAATCAACGTGTTGTCTGGGGGAACTGGACAGATACAAACTGTGTGGGATGAGGAAGGTTAATGGGATGTCTGGAGTGGCATGGAAAGGGACTAGACGTACAACATGAAAAAAAGGAGTCCATGCAATTTGGTCAGGGTATGTTTGAAAGGCATGCTTAAAATTGACTTCCAAATTCTTTATTAAATATTATAAAAGTCGTGGAGCATTTATATAATTACCCATCGTAAATAGGGAGCAAAGTGTTCAATTTCTAATGACTGTTTATATTAGAACTAGAGAAAAATAATTAAGTCTTTCTAAAATACAAATAAAACTAGTGCATAGCTGGAGTCAAATCTCCCTCTTTTGGTTCATTCCTAATCTTTCCTCTGACGAAATCAGTGAGCCAGATCTTCAGAGAGTGTAAAGCCATAGAGCATCTCAAAGTTAATAGAGCTCTACCATCTCTTGCAGTCTGGCCCCCAAACTTGTAAAGTCTATTTTTAGTTTTCTTTCCTAGCAATTAGAAAATAGGACTGGAAGAAAATTTCCTTCTGTGCCATTAGTTGCTGTTAATGGTTTTGCTGGCCATTAGCCAAGAAGCAATGCTGCAGATGCCTGTATAAAATATGCTCTAATATATAAAGTTGCACTGTTTATTTGTTTTCATGGGTATTTCATACTTGTGGACAAAAGACTTCTCTTTAAAGAAGCGCATTGCTTATGTTTTAAATAGCAATAACTACAGCAATGTTTCACTACAAGTAACTTACTCTGTGTCTATAGGCTCTCAAGCTTGGTCCATAAAGAAAACTGAAGTGGTTTAGGGCATGATTTTAAATCCACTGCTGGTGGATTTCAGTCCTCATGTGTGTGGGTATTCTTAAACTCCTTAACCTGGGCCACACCCAGGAAACTTGCACTGATAATTTGCAAAGGTAAGTTAATTCAAGATCTCCTTTTTTTTAGACTAGTACAGGGTTATTTACTGGAGAATTTAATTTAAATTGTACTCTGATTTAAGGTGAACTGGCACAGGAAACTCATGCCCAGAAGGTGAAGAATTATTATGCAAAATCCAGAGAGGAAATAGGAACTCGGGGAATTAAGACTATTTCCTTGGGGCAGGAGGATAGTGCAGGACAGGTGAGTTTCAGGAAGGAGTAATAATAAATAGCCTGTACCTTCGACAGTAGAGAAAATAGGAGATACACTTGAACAGAACTTGCTAACCAATGAGAAAAATGAGACAATAATAAGAACAGTCATAATGGGAAAATATTTTAATAGTAAAAGCAACAATGGGGATTGTTGCTTTTACTATACTACAGTCATAATGGGAAAATATTTTAATAGTTTTAATAATGCTTTTACTATACTAAAAAACACAATATGCAGAAAAAGGGAAGGAGTTATCGAGGTCAATAGTACGTTGTGAGCAACCAGCAATACTTTCATATGTATTGCACGGTGTGATTAACTGTTAGATCCTGTTGTTCTTGCTGCAGCTGTTACTCTTCAACTAATATCCCAGGCAAGTAGGAACGTGTAGTAAAAGGAGAATCTCTTCCTCAGAGAGCTTACCGCCAAGGACGCAGCAGCGAGGGGAGCGCCGGCAATCAGGACATGACAGCAGCTAGCGCAGGGAGCGCCCAAGCTGTGACCTCCAGAAATACCATTTGACAGAGTGCACTGAAAGAAGAAAGAAAATTGCCGTGGTCCCTCTTCCAGGGGGAACGGCGTCCACCGGGAATGTCTGCAACTGCGTAGTCAGGGCTGCCGCTGCCGTCTGTACGGCACCCGGGGGAACAACAGGCTGGCTATGTGATAACGCCAGCGAGCAGGACTGGGGAGGATGCTATGAAGGACCTAAAAGCAGTTTGTGTGTCACACTAGGGGAGGACATCAGCAAAGGAGCGCAGAAGCAGGGGGATAATTCGCCTGATAGCAAGGCTTGAAACTCAAGTGAGTGGAGCAGGCGTGTGTCTATCAAAGCCAGAGAGGAGAAGCTGTAATAGTTGGAAAAGAACGAACGCCCTGGCAGGAGCTCTAGATGGACTGATTTACTGCTGTGCGTGTGAGCCAAGAAAGTAGGCCAACTTAAAAGACAAAAGTTAGTTCACATGTGTTTAGAGCAATTACGGAACGTTACATGAGATTCAGAAAAGTAGGTCAGGTTTCAGGCTCCAGAGACTGGTAGAGAAGAAGTAACCGTGCCCATCTTCAGCATGAGAAGGATGGCTTAATCCATATTTACGAGCGAGGTAGTCAGAGAAGGAGGACCAGTGATACCTGCAGGGGAAATCATCAAATTGCTATGGATGAGAAACTTGACTTTTACGTAACAGAAGATGAAAATAATTGTGAAATGATTCTTATTTTCTTGCTGGTGTGTTGGTTTTGAGAACTGACACTTTCAAGGTTTTTCCTGCAGCCATTAGACCCTGAAAACTCATGTTTTATTGTCACGTATGAATGGAAACTACTATTTAAAAGCTTGTGGGAGACTCTGGAAAATACAACAAATATTTCCAAGCTTCCTTTCTTCATAGGTACTTTTTCTAGTTTTCTATCTACGTATATGGATAAAACACAAACATTAGGAGTGGAAAAACAGATTACCTTATCTTTATATTTTGTTTGCTTTTTAGGTAGGACAATTACGTTTATTGTTTTGCCAAACTAACTGTACTTAAGAACCTTAAAATTAGAGGTGTAAGATAACATGAGTAATATTCTGAACCAGTTAAGAGGACTGGAAATCTATTGAGCTAAATTGCCTAATTTATTTCCGTCTGAGAATCTGTCTCGATGTTAATCGCAAGTGAAACTCCTTTTTCTTTCCTGCTTTGGTTTCACAGGTGTGAAATTTCAAAAGTTAATATTGGTTCTTGTTTATTTCTAGTCCA